TAAATGGCATCTCAGTTGCAAGATATAAAGCAGTGAAAGAAACTGAGCTCATTTTATTTAAATATGGATTTATTTAAATAAGATATTAACTCTGATGCAAACCAGCAGTTTGGAAATGCTATGTGCTTTCCTTTCACACAGAGCACAGCAGATGAGTTCAAGACAGTTATTAATTATTAGCCTAGTTAACATTATGTATGTCTGCAGGATGCTGATATGGTTGCAGAGAGAACTATCATACACTTCCTAAATATACCTTATACCCTCACCAGATAAAAACCATGGTGATCCAGCCTTTCTAGTGGCATGGGCTATATTGGAAGCGTTCAAGGTCAGGTTGGACGGGGCTTTCAGCAACCTCGTGCAGTGAAAGATGTGGCTGCCTATGGCAGGGAGGTTGGACTAAATGATCTGTAAAGGTCCCTTCCAACCCAAACCATTCTGTGATTCTACGATATCTCACTCTGGACAAGTGGGAGCAGCAATTTCCAATTCTACCTCTCCAGATATGCAGAAATGAGTCAGATAACATCACATCAGGTATAGGATATATGGTAGTGGCAGCTTCTCAGAGCACCACAAACTAGTGCATTGGAGGAATAGTTTCTTTGACATTCTTTCCTAAAAAATGGAGTGATTATTCCTGCAGTAGTACCCCGATGCATTATACAGCACTGTCTGTCCCTGCTTTGTTCTGGTACTGATCATGCTGTTCTTTCACTTCTAATCATGGAAAGGTGAGGGAGCAGAATGAAACACACTATAAAGAAACACATAGCAGGACAGGTACAAGGGCATAAACTGATACTAATATGTCTAGAACAGGTATGTAACTGAAAATGTTGGAAAGGATGATGAAGACAAAGCTATATAGAGAAAAAAAATAAGGAGAAAGCTCCTTATTTTTGCTTAAAACAAACGTGTGTTACAAATCCAAATATAAAAATAACAGATGCGAAATCTTTGCCCTCAGGTGTTTGCCACTCTATATCAAATGCTGGTATGCATTTTCAGGGATTCAAATATATCTGGTATTTCTGACTCACCTAGTCATCTTATTTTTCATGAGGAATAGGCTTTTTCAAAGGAAGTTTCCTTAAAAAAGGACTTGGGAACATGTCTTTGAATAACAGCAGAAATATAAAATCTTATTTCTAAAAGCCAACTTACAAAACCTGGGAAAACAAGTTTGTTTTTTTTTTTTTAATAAAATGTTGATAAAACTGGGCCTTAATGCTGAAATCCTTACTAAGGATGCAGATTCATTACAAAGATCCATCTTTACCCATGTTAGATTGTACCTACTTTTTTTCTTTTCAAATAGCTCTACAGAGACAATGGAGTTGGACAGAAAGAGAGAGATTAATTTGGTCCCAACAAACCTCCCCAGAAGCAGAAAGGTTTTGACATCTCTTGATGTTTTCAAGAGAATCCCAAAAGAACTTACAGGTTGCTCCTAGCCTAGATTTCAAAACTTGCATAAAAAGAGAAGGGAGGCTCATGGAGAACAAGATGAATAAGAAAAATATTTGAAATGGAAAGCTGGAAAAGCTGCATTTCAACTAAACTGATAAGTAACTGCAGGCAACTGAAGATGCTGCAACACTGGCTACAGACCCTACCATTCATGTTAATTTAGAAAACACATTTCATACTGCACGTACTGAATGACACTTCTGTGTGTGAAGCTTTGTCAGGATCTGTTTGAAGCTGACTGAACAGCCTGGCAGACTTGTAGATTTACTAAATGTTTCTGCTGATATGGACAGATCAGCCAGGAATATGTTCAAGGATTGTCCTTAACTTCCAGAGCTGACCCAACAGAGGCCTCTACTCAAGATGTTTGAATAGACAAAACTGTGCTAGTCTCAGTTCACTCGCTTCTGTTATGGAAAACTATTGTACAAAACATGCCTTTGCTAGCATGACTGCATCTCCATAGAAGTATCTTCTCATTACGATATGTCACAGGATTTCCCAAAGCATCAGGCAGGTCCACCTTAGGATTCAGTCTTCCCCAGTGGTGGTAAATATTATCACATTAGCCTGTTTGTAATCATGTTCTATCAATGCAAAACTGGAATGAGATAATGAAGAATCAGGACCTGTATTTTACTGAAATGCTAGTTTAAAGCATCGTAAGGAAATGCTTCATTGGAATCATATAAAGTATATAATTTTCCTTCTACAACATTGCAAACCCCAGGGAAAACTTTTGTTTCCACTCTTTTCTTCCATCTTTTCCTCCCAGAAGCATGCTGGTGACCCAATGTTTTTGCTCTGTCAGTACTTCAATACTGTGTACATTATTTCATTTTAAATACTGCCTAAAAAATGCAGTTAAGCATGCAAAAGGAATTTTAAATACAGCCTAAAAATGCAGTTAAGTATGTTACTCTGAAAGATCTTACTGAATAAAAATAAGTTATTTCCATAAGATTTTCTTACAATTAATAAAGATAAAAGTCACACTGAGAGTGAATCCTTGCAATTTTACACAAAGTATTCGATGTTTCTGGTTGTGTACTGAAACACATGGAGCACTCCCTTGCCTCCAATGAAACCTCCCATCTATTTGTGTCCTATGTTAACTCCCAGCATATGGCGTTTTAAAAGAGATAGCTAAGAACAATGGGCTAAGTAGTGGAGTTTCCATTCAATAAGAAATCCACATCTTAAGCATAGCCATGAGGGAAACAGATCTACACTGTTTAAAATCCAACTAGAAGAGCTTCTTAAAAAATTTTAACCATAAAATGCTTTAAGTTAAAGGGAAAAAAAAGGCAGCTGGAAGATGTTAACTTGGTTTCTAATTGAAACAATGGTATGTTTTATTTCATGTTGGGATTTCAACGGACTCTTAATTAGACCTTTTTACCATGTAGTTTTCATTTAAAAATATCTTGATGACATTCTGGTCATCAAGAAGATCCTGAGGGACTTGACACCTGTAACTCCTTGGAAGAACGTTCATCCAAAAAGGCAGGCAGGCAAATAATACTCCCCAACTCATAGAATAAATATTAAATCAAAATATCCAGATTATTTAAAAGAATAACGAAGGGGGGAAAAGAGTCTGGAAAATACTTTGTGCAGTCCAGACTTTAGTGATAATAAGCAGATAGCAATGCTCAAAACAAAAGCCAAAAACACATAGGTCGCCTGCTATATTGTGGAATACTAATAGAATATTTATAATGTGAATGTATAGCTGGTAAAATCACTACTATGTCATTTGCTAAGGACATGAAAAAATTATGCTTACCTATTTTATGAAAAGCAGCTTACGTAGTTATTGAAACCAGCATTTGCAACAAAATTTTCTATGTAGTAAGAAATCAGTATACAAGACCAGATTGTCAATCACGCAGATTTGAAACATACAGTCAGAATACATCACTTCATTTTTTAAAACCCTGAATAAGGAATTCTCATAAATAGCATTGCTATGATTCATCTTGATGTAACTTCTTAAAGTGGCATAAAATTAGTAAATAGACAGTATTAAAACCTAGAGTGAATTAAATAAAGAATTCCATATTATACTGAAGATAGCACCTCTAGATTGAACTTAAATACTAGATTAGAATAGAACAGAACAGAACAGAACAGTTCAATTGGATGGGACCTACAACAATCATCTAGTCCAACTGCCTGGCCAATTGAGGGCTAATCATGTTAAAGCATGTTATTAAGGACATTGTCCAAATGCTTCTTAAATAGCATCGACCACCTCTCTAGGAAGCCTGTTCCAATGTTTGACCACCTTCTCAGCAAAGAAATGTTTCCTAATACCATGTCTGAAACTCCTCTGATGCAGCTTTGAACCATTCCCACGTGTCCTGTCACTGGATACAAAGGTGAAGAGATTAGCAACCTCCTTCACTTCCCCTTCTCAGACTGATCAAAACAAACTGAGTTTGACTCCTGGGCTCTATTGACATGGACAGCATTAATTTTCAGAGCTGATTTTAAAATAAAAATAAAAAAGGATAAAGGTATAAAACAATAGCATCATCAACAGAGCTTGAGATGCATGGCTAAATTAGAAACAGAAAGGGGAAACTTGCTACTCTACAGTAACTTATTTTCCTTACTTTTGGGAGAAAAGAAAGCCCCCAATTCTTCTCTTACTAAGACACAAATATTGTTTGCTGTGTTTTGTATACATAGAAATAAAACCACCAGCTGCAATCTGATCTGAGTTAGGTCCATCTTTTATGTGAAGATCATGAAGGCAAATTTTGGGATTCTTTCATGGATCAAAGTGTGTGTGTGGCTTAAACTGTTCTTGCCCCAGCAGTTTTCTGTCACATTTTAGCTGAAGTTTACTGTCCCAAAAGTGGAATTTTCATATGAACACTCCTAGGCTGTTTCAGTACAAAGTCAGTGGAGTCAGCTTAAAGCATCTTAAACCAAATTTGGATGACTTTACACTATGTGAACAACTTACATAGACACTTTTAGCTTCGCAGCTGTGTCAACAGAAACGGGAAGAAATAACTTCTCAACTTCTATAACTAGATGCGAAAGAAATGACCTGTATATGCCTTCAGTCCCTCTTGGAATGAGGAAAATTAAAAAGCATGTTAGATTGTGGCAACATGGCTAGAAGCTCAGTCTCAGGACAAATCAATGACTGTTAATGGGAATTCAAATTAGAGTCATTAAAGAAAGCAAAAATAAACTCTAAAAATGAAGAGAGCTTAGATGTCTCTGTTCTTGTTTTGGTCACCCTGAAAAGAAAGCAAGCCAATACCAAACCCCTAAACCTGTAAGACTTTTGCATTATTTTTCTCACCACCCATAAAATCAGATGCCTTTGGAGCCAAATCTCTGGCAAAGTTCACGGAGTCCATGTTCTTTATAGTATGGACTGTTGTAGAAATATTGTAGCAAAAACTGTCGTAGGAAATACAACCTGCCCCACAAACAGATTCAGCCCTGGGAGAGAGAGCTTGTTGCCCATATTGTATCCTATTGCATCTGATATGTTTTACCTAGAGCTGCCCTCTGAATGTGCCTCTGGGTTATTTCTCCTTTCAGACGGTCTGTAAAAAACACAAAATGCGAATAGTTAGAATTCAAAATGTCAAAAATCAATGAAGTCATTGCCTTTTTCCTACCATTTGAAAACGCCTGTGCTGCCGACAAATTTAAGGGGATTTTTTATGATCCACAGGGTAAGTAGTTTTCTGAGTTCTCTCCTTCTCGCTACTGCAAGTAAACAAGTAGGCACAATTTGGCTCTACGTATCTTTAGATTTAACTTTGTCCAGTAAGAAAGACTGAAAATGAAGCTACTGTCAAGCACTTTCACAGGATAATGATCTCCTGCTGCCAGATACAAAAGAAGTCCAAGTGAGGCTAGATGACATACAGAATTCCAAGTACTTGTTCAAACAGACTTATAGGCGCTAGCAGTGGAAATGAGATATTAGCTCATCCAGTCCACCTCTTTGCCAGTGAAGAATTGGTTCCCTGTAGTCCATTTTTTCCTGTTTGTCCAGCTCAGTTTTAAATATCCCACGTGCTAGACCTTCTGCAAGTTCTACTGCTCAACAGAACTCACTGTGTTGAAGTCATTGGTCTTTGACTGAAATTTTTCTTTAATTTTGTTATCTCATTATTCCTAGTTAGGCTTCCATGCTCCATATAATTCACCTTTACCCTTCTTTTATTAATTTCCTCCTTGATCTATGACACTGTTCCAGTTCACCAATTATTTCAAACGATAATTAGATTACCACATGGGAAGCCATTATTCATAGATATTAATGGAACCAATGAAGGAAAAACATAACCTTAAATTTGCAATTTCAGCAGTATATGTGTTCTGAGGGAGGATGGGATTGTCTTTCAAGTTTTCAAATTAAAACAATTTTAAGCAGAGACTTGTTCATAATCTTTACTAAGCTATACATCTGGATACCAGGGAAAAAAACCCCAAACATGCTGGATTCACTTTTTTCCCCAGATCTGTGATTATGTATATTATATTAGCATGCATTCTGAATTAAAAATATCCTTTTGCTTACAAGTGAAGACTTACAGAGTAAACTAATCAGAGCAAATTAAGTCATTAAAAGCTGGCAAACGCTTAACTGGAGAATGTGAAAAATCACTGTGACTGTTCTATCAGCACCAAAGAACCGTGAAAAATTAAACTTCTTTGGGAATTATGATAATAATTCTTAAACATTTAGTAGCATTGTAGGTATTATATGCAATACATTGCCGTGTAACAGCCAAGTTATGTTGTTTTGAACATTTTTAGAAAACAAAACAAGCCAAAACCCCCTACCTACTCCTTGTCCATAAAACAGATACTGTAGATTCCTATTTTTCTGCACAGGAAGTTTTATTCTTTTCAATTATTTCTATTTAGACCAATGAATTCTTCTGTACTTAAAGTTATCTGTAAAATTAAGAAAAGCCTTCAGCTACTGAGAAACAGTGAAATCTCACCTACCCCAGCTATACCAAATAAATCCTCCATGTCCGCTGTACTAACACTCAACCAAAACACCCATTCAGTTAAGTAAGCTCCTGATTTCCGTAACTATAGACAAACCCTTGATTAATAATTTTTACCAATCAAAGCCCAGCTAAATGATCAACACTCATGCTATTTGTGCTTTATATAGCAACTCAGTTGATGTCAATACTCAGTGAAATGTGATTAAACGTACCACTTTTTCCCTCAAATTGCTTTTTGCTATTCTGGATATTTATATCCTTGTATCCTGTTGTACTGTACCACACAAGGTGATGTTACTCACTAAATATTGAGCCATGAGACAGTTACAAAACAATTTGTAGTAATCTTGAGATTCATCTCAATGGATTACCATTAACTTAGGTGCCTCAGAAAGCCATCTATATGTGCATCTTCATGTAAGGGCTCAGCAACTCCCTTTCTTAAGCACTGTGAGCTGCCACTATCATTTGAAAAAATGGTTCTAGTAGTGAGAATATGCTGTTCATCAAGAATCAACTGAAAATAAAGGTCACATATGAGTTCTCTATCCTGTCAATAAATGTTTTTAGTAGCGTTATTGCTCTTTCTTTAACCTTGCTAGAAACAGATCAGCAGCAACCGAAATGTTTTGCGTAAATTTCTATCAAGTGGCAATGAGGTCAACAGAAAAACAGCAAGCCAAACAAGTCAGTGAAAGTAAGATCGAACAGACAGATAACAGCTTGCAGTCAATACAAATATGTGGAAATGGAAGAATATGGGGACTGGTTTTTAAATGATTATAGCCAAGAGGCTTGAATTCCAATTACCTAGCATTTACCCTCAGTACAGATGGGACTGAATGCACAGAGGCTGCAGAAGCCCTAATTTTATTGCAAGCTTTGTTACACCAGCCAGCAGTGTGGAACTGTCCCAAATGTTACTCCCTCCCTTCATTCTAGCCTCCATACACTTCTGCTCCATCCATGACATGGACCATGATGTTGTAAGAAATCTCTTCCGTCTTCTATTTGGCAGCTTTCTGAAAGAATGAGAAGTTGGAACCAGACCACCTGTAATCAGAGGGGAACCAAAGAAAACGTCTCCTTCTGCTAGAAAAATAAAAATCCAGTCTTACCATTCTTACAGCAAAAGACTTTTATTTTTCTTCTATGGATAGAAATAGAAAGGTGACATTTATCCAATTCACATAGTCCAAACTGCTTTTTCAGGACAGCAAAAACTGAACTTCAATTCACAGAAAACTTCCTGAGGAAAATTTGTAATTGTATTATGGGAAAAGTAGCCCAAACAGGAATTCTGGTTCAGAGGACGTGATGGTATCATGAAGCACCTGACTATAATTCCATACCAAGACTTAGCCAGATATGATTTAATCTTTCAATTTGTTTTAATCCAATTTGAAATTTGACAGTTTATTTAGATTTCCTTTGGAAAAAAAACCCTGGTTTTCACGTAGAAACTCTTATCTTTGACAAAATCTTAACATTTTCTGTACATGTTTTTGATTAAAGTAATCTTGTTCTGTTTTCACTACAAATACTTGTGGGGGAGAATGAATGTTTCTGACCTGCTCTACTTTTCTGCCTCTGAGAACACCATCACCCCAATGCAAAGCTTGATGTTCATAAGTGACAGAAGTAGAGGATGATTCCAGCAGTGTTGCCTGCACAGACCGTCCCGTATAAACAAAGGAAAGATTTCAGTCTTTAGTACTGCCAGTTCTACAACCTTCATAAACACAAATATTGACTCAAAGAAATATGAAGAATCACAATCTCCCAAAAAACCCCCATGTCTTCTGATTCCAACAGTGTAATGTTGTAGACAAGGTAGTGCTTAAATGTGGTTTGCAAAAATTGAATTTAAGACTTGGCAAAAATCTCTCAACATATGGCTAATTATGTTTTCTGAAGTTTCACCAAACAAGAAGCTAAAAATAGGCCTGCAGCTGATACCAAATCATTTTTTCCAGTGGAGTCATTCTTCATTTGGAGATAACAGTCCCAATAAAATGTTGAATGCTGCAACTCCACATGTTTTGGCAAAAAAGTAGTTTTGGGGAATTTAAGAATTCACTCTGCATGCAGCCAGCTGTCATTAAGGCTGTGATAAATCTGTTGGTTTTGGCCTGTGTTTCTGGACACATGTACCATCCTGAGGTATGGAAAAGACATGAACTGGTAACACAGAACTTCAGCTTTGTGACAGGAGACAAAAGCAAGGAGGGAAATGGAGAGGACAAAATGGAATAGAGAAGTCTAATTAAGACTGATGTAAAGCAGAAGGAAAGTATCCTATGTGCTCACTAAATATGACAGAATCCATAACTTGAGTAGTATGGCTGTCCTTTAACTTCTTGTCTTTGCGCTCTTCCAGACTGTTTCAAGGAGCTGAAATTATTTTCCGATTTATTACAGACAATGAATGCTTTGACAATAATGCATAAGCTTCGGGGCAATACAAAAATGAGTGTGTTACAATTAAAAAAATACTGATTCTAAAAAGTAAGGGTTTGGTTTTGTTCGAGTCCACATTACAGGTTTTAAAGCTTCTCTTATATTTTATCAGATCTTCCATTTAATACTATTATAAAGTTTCAAAGACTGCTAACTGAAAGTATTAAAATACTGGAGAAGCTGAGTACACCTACAACCTTAACTCCCTCCCTTTGAGAATATTTGTTGTTATTGATGTGGATAGACCTTTAACTTGATGAAGGGTCACTTCTGACTTAGTAATTGACAGGCTGGAGCCTTCATCAATAACCTCTCATTTCTTGTCATTTTTTAATACTTTGCTATTATTTTACATTTTCCAAGCCTGTGTTTAGCTTAAGAAGTCATTCCATCTAGGAGATCCTGAAACCCTCATATCTCAGCTAGGATGCTGTATCTCGTTCTCCATCTTTAAATAATTTTTGGTGTTACATCATAGAATTGTTTAGGTTGGAAAAGACGTTTAAGATCAAGTCTGGAAATTTACTGAGGGTGAACTTGGTAAGTTTGCAGATGACACCAAGTTGGGTGGGAGTGTTGATTGGCTTGAGGGTAGGAAGGCTCTACAGAAAATATCTAGCGGAACATCTTATGCATCCAGGGAACCTCACAGTCCTGGAACTCACCCTCCGGGGCATTTTGGGTCCCTAATAATGCTATATGGTCTAAGTGTTACATCTACCTTTTTTTCTGCTTCTCACACCACCCCATCAGCAAGTAGGCTGGGGGTCCACAAGAAGTTGGGAGGAGACACAGCTGGGACAGCTGACCCCAGCTGACCAAAGGGATATCCCATACCATATAATGTCATGCTTAGGAAAAAAAAACTGGAAGAAGAAGGAAAGAGGGACACTCAGAGTGATGGTATTCGTCTTCCCAAGTCACCATTAGGTGTAATGGAGCTCTGCTTTCCTGGGGATGGCTGAACACCTGGCTGCCAATGGGAAGGAGTGAAGAAATTCCTTATTTTGCTTTGCTTGCGCACATAGCTTTTGCTTTACCTGTTACACTGTCTTTATCTCAACCCATGAGTTTTCTCACTTTTACCTTTCTGATTCTCTCCCTCATCCCGC